TATTAAACTTTAGGAAAAATCACTCAAAAACCTAGAAGATCAAAACTCAAAACTCATAAGTTATGCCACATGTTGGCATCTCCTTATATAGGCTTAGCAACTCCTAAACCTAATTGAAATAAAATAATTAGATAACTCCTAATTTCCTTTTCCTAATCCTAACACTTTTAAAAAATATAACTTTAAGAAGAATCTAGAAGCTTGTTCTTCAAGCTTCCTTCAAGCTTACTCCAACAGAGTTCAAGCTTTAAATCCAAAGTATCAAAAGGAAAATAATACTCAAAATTTAAGGAGGGGGTTTATTAGCTTTCCTTGATTATTAAACTCTCGAATAGCCGGTATTTTTTTGAACTATTATTTTTTTTTCATCTGCCCAATTTATATATCATATTTGGCTAGTCAGAATATTGATCCGTAAAGCATCTTCGACCGGCTCGGTATAATTGATTTTGGAAAATATTACATCACGTGCGCGAACTTCTTTTGCAAGACTATCAGCCCGGATATTTAAACATCTGGGGATATGGGATATTGTGAAATCCGAAAAGCTCTCTCGGAAAATGCAAAAAAATCAACATCTGACATAAAGGCCGGTCAATCCGCTGGAGATTCTGTCTTTCTCTCAAACATGACATATCTTGAAGGAGGCAATCCAACTCGGCATGAAGAGCCGATAGGCTTTTGTCGTATCCCTGCATACTGAAAAGCTCTATTCCCCTATCCTCCTCAAAACTCCAACCGAGGCCACTAATCAGTCCATGATCGATCCAAGAGACATCAATCCGGCATAACGGGAGTCGCTGGTCCTCAGTAAGAGATCCTGAGATCGAATGGGGTTGATGCGTCCCAGTGTCTACATCGTCGATTTTTTCGGGTTGGTTCGCGATCCTCCCTCTCTATGCTTCCACTCTGGCTAACAACAAAGTATCTTCCTGGAAAATTTTTTTTTTGTTAAAGATCTTATCGTTTCTCATTTTCCAAATATAGCATAGGATCCAAAGATATACATCTTTTTGGAATCTATCATTCCTAACTCTTTTGTTTTTCAATTATACAATTTATAACTGTAAAGTATGTAGTGATAAAATATTGCATCTAACATCATTGTTTGAAATTAAATATTGATTGAGATTCATTATTGATTCCACTAATCTTAACATTTTGCCAATCTGAATTTTGAGTTGGTGAATTTACAACTAACTCATGTTAATTAGTCTAATGGTTGACAAATACTTTTTTAAATTAATGGATTAAAGTTCGAATTTTTTCACTGCGATTTCATTCATGGTTAGTCACTACGGATGTTTTAAGTAACAAAATACTCTGTCTAAAATTAGGCTGAAAATTAGTTCTAAACTTCCGAATATAAAAAGTTTGAATGGTAGGCTATTATGTCATTAGTCTATGTTTTGTTGCGGACCATCAAATTATTTTAAAAATAATAATAATGGGAAAAAAAAAACCTAAAGACAAGTTTCCATCCCAAAAGGTCAAAAATACAAAAGTCACTTCAAACATAATGATGTGATGACTTTGTCTATTTTCTCAGCCATCCAAAATGGCCGTGAGAAATGAGACTCTTCTTGACCTTGCATCACAGTCATTCACTTATTAATCCAATTTCACTATAAACAAAAGATTCCCAATTCAATTATTCAACTGTTCATTCCTTTTCTGTATTCGCATGCATATCTGTCTTCTGACTTCGAAGTATAACCAACATGTTGGCGTTCCCAATTAATCAAATTATATTATTTTCTCCATTTTAGCATTACCAAAGTTTGCAATATATTTGGTAGGATTTATGAGCAAATTATTTTAAGCCATGGATTGACAAGTTAGAAAAAGAACTTATCATTTAGTCTCTCACTGATTTAAATTATAATTTTTTCTTTAGTAAGAGTTCATCCATATTCATCCACAAATCCATAAGATTTGGTTTGAGTCATCCTCACCATTTCAGTCTCAGATAACATAAATTAATAAACAAAGACCCATCCAAATATATGTTAACTGGATGACGTACCAGAAGGTCCGATTCATCAGTTTAGAGCCCAAAAATTTTAAACGCTAATTTTAAAAGTACTAGGTGAATACCCGCACATTACGTGCAGGTTTTTATTTTCAATTTTTTCAAAATTTTTTTTATATTTTTATAAAAATTAATATAATCATCATTTGTTATTTACTTACTTGTTAATATTTTATTTAAAAAAATTAAAATATTAAATATTATTTATTAATTTAGAGTTATATTAAAATTAATAAATATCATCAATATTTTTAATTAGTTATAACATAAAATTTTGTTTAACATTTACACAAATAGTAACTAATAGTCACTTAATAAAAATAATTAAATTAATAGAATCATTATTTCATTTGTTACTTCTTAGTATTTTATTATAAATAATCTTTAAAAAATAATTTAAAATATATATTGAATATTATTAAATAATTTACAGTTACATAAAAATTAAATACATATCTATCAATATTTTTAATTAGTTATAACATAAATTTTTGTTTAACATTAATATAAATATTAGTTAAGAGTCAATTAATAAAACAAACTTTTCATATTCTTTAAATGCTTTAAAAATTAATATTAAATTTTTATTAATTAAAATTTAAGTGACATGTGTCAGTTTCTCCAATGCACTAAGTAGCTGGGAATGCGGCTAGCTAGTTTACTTACTTGTTTGTACTCCCCAGAAGCTCCAAGCATATAGAAAAAGTTGAGCAACTTTTATATATAAGACTAGGTGAATACCCGCACGTTACGTGCAGGTTTTTTATTTCAATTTTTTTTTTCAATTTTTTTGTATATAATTTTATAGAAATTAATATAGTCATCACTTGTTACTTACTTACTTGTTAATATTTTATTCTAAAATACATATTGAATATTATTTAATAATTTAAAGTTATATTAAAATTAATAAGTATCATTCAATATTTTTAATTAATTATAACATAAATTTTTGTTTAACATTTACACAAATATTAATTAATAATTAATTAATAAAAAATAAAATAAATATAATCATCATTTTATTTGTTATTTGTTAGTATTTTATTATAAATAATCTTAAAAAATTAATTGAAAATACATCTGGAATATTATTAAGTAATATACAGTTATATAAAAATTAAACACATATCTATTAATATTTTTAATCAGTTATAACATAAATGTTTGTTTAACATTAATATAAATGTTAATTATGAGTCAATTAATAAAATAAATTTTTCATATTCTTTAAGTGCTTTAAAATTTAATATTAAAATTTATTAATTAAAATTTAAATGATAGGTGTCAACTTCTCCAATGCTGATGTGTCAAACCTATGGAAAAAGTTGAGCTACTTTTATATATATAAGATTTTTAATAGATTATTTAACATTAACAAAAAACATGATTCTTAGAAATATTGGACTGGACATGATATAGCATAAATGTATACACGTAGACGGTTATGTGAAACCTAGGCGAATTTTATTTGTGATAAAAAAGCATAAAACCTAGTCACATTGTTATGGTAAAGATATATAAGAATAATATACATAATTGATAATACAAAGTCACATATTTGTTTAAATTTTTTTTTTTTTTTTGGAATGCAAGACAATGTTGTTTTAAGAAAATGCCGTAGACAAAAAAAATGCTGTAATTTGTCTACTGCTACAAATAACCTGAAGCGGACCGATACTCCCACAAGCTTTTAGAGCACCTCTATCAAAAATATCTTAACAAGGTATCTCAGCATTTGATAAAAAAAATATTATTATTTTATTATATGGGTATCTCAAATAGTTTCGAATTCCAAAAATATCTCAAAATTTCTCATTTGAAATATTTTAGAAGGAGTTTTCAACTATTTAAAATACTCATTTAATAAAATAATAATATTTATTTTCATTAAATGTTAAAATACCTAGGTTGAGATACCCTTCATGGAACCTTCATGGAAGTGCTCTAACCCAAATTTGCATTTCATTTCCCAAGGCCAGATCAATCAGGTACATTGTCGTGCTCGAGCATATTTACCATTACAAAAAAAGGTCATCATGTCGATGGAGACGAGTGGGACCTAAAGATTCCAAAGGCAATCACTTGAGAAAGTCATCAAAAAGAACAGAAACATCGTCCAATGAGAAGACGTTAGTCACACATAAGACATATATGCACACATCTATTCAACATTGGTGTCCAAATAATCTTTACCATTTTATGCAACTAGTTTGCATTTTTTTTTTTCAAAACAATCTACTAATTCGGGAAGAGTAGAACTTGGCGAACGAGGAATCATTTCAATTGTTAAAACAATAACATAAACCCTTGAACAAAAAATAGAGTAAATGCAGTAGATAACCTAGGTACTGTTCATAATTTGTAAGGTAGGAAAAAACACTTTTACAGCATTGTACATTTTACAATATAACAACGTTACCCTTATGTTTTTATGATCTCTAGATAATCATGCACGATATTATATCAGAAAAAATATAATTTAATATTTGAGATATCTTTCAATATTTCGAATTTCAAATATATTATTATTGTAATAATTCGTTACACACATTATTACTGTGATATACACAACATTAAACATTTTCTCTTTTCATCTTCTAGGGTATTTTACAGTGTACACAAAATAGTACCTGAACAAAAGGAAAATTCGATTTTACAGACGTTTTAGATATTCGTTTCTTCATCAATTTTAGACAGAATCCGTTGATTTCGTCGATCAGTAATCGTAAGTCATTGTGATTTATCATCTCCTTTTGCTTAATAATGTTGATTCAGTTTTATTCCGCTGATATTCTATTTTTTAATCAATTTTTTAGGATGTTTAATATCCAACTTTCCGAGAGACTTTTCACCGCTGGTCAAGAACCCATTAAATTCCTACCAGAAGTCCAAATCTGTACAGGTGATTCTGAACGCCCTTGATGAGAGACCCTGAGACTCTCAATTGAGAAGGCTGTTGGCGACGATGGATATGCCTTCATTTTCCGGGAGTTTTGGATATTACATGCTCGCCCGTATGCTCCGTGTTAAGAAGAAACACAAACTTTGGTTTTTGTTCGCCGGCCATCCTGTAAGATTCTCCCTCCGAAAATTTGCTTTGGTTACCGGGCTCGAATGTGGGAAATTTGCCCAGACGAGGAAGCTAAAAAATCTCGTCGCCCAGAAACCATAATGGCCCGAACTGTTTGGTCTTTTAAAATCATGCACAGTCGATTCAGTTGTTAGCATGTTGCAAAAGAAGAAAATTTCCGACAAAGAGAAAAGATTCAAATGTGCATGTCTCGCTGTCACGGCTGCTGTTTTAGTACCTACATCTCATGTTACAAAAATTGTCCCTGAACATGTTGAGCTGATTAGGGACATAGACGCCTTTCTTTCTTATCCATGGGGGAGAGTTGGATTTGATCTACTTGTCTCTAGTATAAAATCCAAAGATGAGTTGGAGCTTTCGCAGAAGACAATCTCCATCAAAGGGTTTTTCTATGCAATTCAGCTCGTAATGATGGCCGCTGTCCCTACCCTTACTGAAGTTGTACAAGCCCCTTCTGGAGAATCCGACAGTGATTGTGAAGATGAATCTGATACTGCTACTGCCACATCCGGGGGACAAGATGTGAATCTGGGTAATGACTCTACTACTTTGGTCGATGGTGTGACAGCCACCGGATCCGTGAAGATGATGCTAAGCCCCAGCCACGCGCGTGAGATTGATGAAGAATCGAAGGTTGGTTTGTTTTCTTTTATTTATGGAATATTAAATGTTAGACTGCATAAATAATGATATAGTGCTAATGATACTCTTATCATCTAACAGATAAATTATATTATTACCTTGTTGCTACTACTTCGTTTATACGATACAATATATAGTAGACGCTAAAGAGTTCCATTACAGGCTATAGTTCATTCCATCATCCCTAGCGATGGCGAATGTGCCCTCGAGGGGATGGACCTACGCAGGACCGACGAAGTTCCGGACGAGGCCGTAGATCTGATGATCAAACTTATCGGAGATGGTTTTTTCTTTAGCAAGGATATGTTGACTGGTGGTCTGTCTGCTGCTGACTTGGTCCATATGCGTACTGATAAGGTGCCGAAAGAGAAAGAATCTAAAGACAAGAAGAAGAAAGACAAGACAGCTGATTCTTCTTTTACATCTTCCCTTATTGATCAGGACGCTATTGCTGACCTTGTGGTTGATAAATTGAAACCCAAATTGCAATGTTTCAACAGCAGGTTAGGAGGTCTTGAAGCGTATGTTATTTTGCTGGAAAGGAAGATAGTGCAATCTATTACCGGTGCCTTCAAGTCATTTCAAGACTCAATAATGCAAAGTATATCTCAACCTGTCCGGCATACACCCGTGATGGCTGAAGTTAGAGATCTCCCCACACGTACAATTGGGGATAATAACGTTAATCAACACCCTTTTTCTTCTATCCACCCGTCAGCCACTGCGTCAGACGTTGATGGTGAAACTGTTTGGAAATCGGCATCAAAATGTGGGCGTTCAGAATCAGTTACCACTATACAAACCCATGGGCGTTCAGAATCAGTTACCACTATACAAACCCATTCAGTTCTCTCTGGCTCTACTCTGTTGACAAAGGCTCCTGCCCTTGCCATGAGCAATGATGAGTTTCTTCGGAATCTGATTCAATCTATTAATGCCCAGCTATCTGTTTTATGTGTTGTTTGTTTTGTTTGTATCCATAGCTTCATATAATAATAATCAGTAATATTAAATTCAGGGCAAAGAGGCATCCGACTTTAGTAGTGGCTTTAATGGTAATCATAATTCTCAGTCCCAGGCTATACCTCCGGTTTTCAGCACATCAACGATAGGCCCAATGTCTACCCCTGCTGACAGGGCCGGCCCAATAGTTCGTGGCGCCTGAAGCCCATAATTTTTTTTTTTTGCCTATGAAAAAAGTAACTTCAAAATTTTCTGCCCCTGAGACTCGAAACAAAACCACTGCACTACAACACATTTTCGATAATTTCTGCCCTTAACTGTTATATATATTTTGGCGGCTAAAGCTGCTGATGTGAGTATTTCACGTTTCCCTTTGGGCTTGTTAATAATTTGTTATCCTCGTTAAATATTATTTTAGTCCTTACCATTTTTCGTATACGTCTAGATCTAATAATATATCGCAATATTTTATTTTAGCAAAGCATGTAATTTATTACATATCGCAGTTATATCATAATCAACTTGTTATCTATCAGACTTTTGCTCATCAGCCGTCCGTCAACCTAATGGAGGAAACACAAAAGCGGTATATGTTTCTCTTCCTTTATTGTTACAAAAATCGTGTTACCTATATTTACTATAAATTCTGTATTATGTAGATGGATTTACTGTTATCAGTATCTCCTTCTTTTTCCTTGGGGTTAACACAAGAAGACCAGTTGGTGAATCCGGTCCCAGAAATCTCAAAAGGCAACGTATCAGAAAACGATGTTGCTCCCCCGCGGAAAAGTAAAAGAGTGAAGACCTCATCAGTAGTTTACAAGGATTACCAATGCCTTTTGACTAAGCCAGCACCCGCGAAAATGAATTTCGTAATGCCATGTGACCCCAACGTGAACTACAGTGCTCGCTTTGTTGAGCTTAAAGCCAAGCTTGCCCACGACAGGTAACTGTACATTCTTGATATATCCAATATGTTATCTAAATGATAAATATTTTATTGGACGTTACTTTAACTTGTAATATTTACTTCATTCAGTAACATAGACGCCTTATGGAGATTTACCCGGGTGCATCTGTCCAAACCGAAGATGTTATTGCCATCGGCGAAAGAGTACGGGTGCTTCTTTCTAAGGTATTTCATCCTATACTGCCTATCCCAATAAAACACATTTCTTTTGTATGATATCCATAAAATAACTTTTCATTACATGCTAATCTAGGTTGTGGACGCATTAATGTTTTACCTATGTCACATTTCTAGGCTGCAGCTGTATCCCAAGAACTATTCGAAGATAGAGTTTTTTTACACCATTTTCCCTGTTATAATCGTATCATAGTACGCGAAATTCTCGAAGACAGCTGTTAAAGACCGTTCCAGGTTCAAATTCCAAGACTCGTTGATGTCGTATTTTGAATCTGAAAACCCACAACGCCCTCTTCCCGACTCAATGTATTTCCCGTTCAATTTCAACAAACGACACTGGGTCGGCGTCTGTGTGAACATCCCCACTGCCTCCATTATGGTTCTTGAATGCAATGTCTCCTTTCGTTCAGACAGTGCACTTAAGAGAGAATTCACCCCCATCTGCAATATGTTTTCGTTCATAGTCAGAGCAGCAGGCACAAAGGTTTTGCGTGACGAGAAACCGTATACTTTGGAAAGGGCGCTGGGCATTCCCCAGAATGAGATAAACTCAGATTCTGCTGTCACTGCTGTAATACTTATGCAGGCGCATGCAAGTGCAGGATTGGATGTCTGCCGTACTGTAACTCCGGATTTGATCTCGTCAGAGGCATTCAAGTTTGCTATAATGTTCTGCGAAGAGTTTGGTCCAAATCCATAGGGTTATGATGAGGGTTTATGTAATGTTTAGTACCTGTACTATGTGTTTCCAGATTATTTTATGGCCGCCACTGTTGACCTTGCTTTTCGTTATGTTCCATAAAAATTCTAGGAACTACTAGTAATATTACCGATCAAATAATATATGAGACACATAATGATTCACTTATTCTGCTTGTTACTCATGCTTTTGTTGTATTCGTTGTAACTATGTTTCAAATCCAGTATTGTACTAGATGTTAATTTTATATGTAACATATGATGACTATAGTTAGTAGTTAATATATACAGCCGCATGCAATGTGCTGGATCGGATGACTGCTGTTCTGTTACACCGGATTTGATTTTGTCTTTCAATATCGATCAATCTTTCTCATTATATTTCCACAGCCATACAAGATCCACTAATAATATTACCGATCCAAAACTTCATATGTACATCTAAGTATTCACTTAGATTTCTCGTTTATATTGCATTATTATTATAAGTATCGTTTGTTATGCATTTGGGACCTTTGATGCAATATAACATATGATGAGTATTGTTAGTAGTTAATATATACAGGCGCATGCAATGTACTGGATCGGATGACTGCTGTTCTATTACACCGGATTTTATTTTGTCTTTCAATATCGATCAATCTTGCTCATTATATTTCCCCAGCCATACACGATCCACTAATAATATTACCGATTCAAAACTTCATATATACATCGAAGTATTCACTTAGATTTTTTGTTTACATTGCACTCTTATTATTATAAGTATCGTTTGTTATGCATTTGGGACCACAAACTGCTATTTATATGGAGTGAAAAGAAAACACAGCTTACCTTAATCACAACATATGTCATAACACAAATATTTTACATTGCCAAAGGTAACATATTTCAAGTCTTGAAAAAAACAAATTACAAATTACATAAAGGAGCAAGGACATCCGAATTTTTCCGAGACTGTAACACACACCATACAGCCTTTTAAGGAACTTACGGTTAATATACTATAATCACACCACTTGAAAATTCGACCGGCCCTCATTTCGGCACATTACAAAAATAAAACCAAACTCTTATTCGTTGTCCTCTTCCCTCATTGACATGTCATATTGGATTCTTACAGGTGGCTCGGTTGTGTCCCCAACCTCCACACCGACCACAGATCGTAAGACGCCTTACAAGTCGTCCCTGCAAACTTATGGGGTAAATACATTTTGTTATTTCCTTACTTATGTTTAAATAGTTTATGTAGAACACTATAGTTATAGTTACCCTGAATTTCCCTCGCGAGAAGATGCGTTGCTTACATGGACGGCCAGGGAGACGTCTCGTAGCTGGCGGCATTAATGCAAAGTTGGCAATTACATCACCTCCCTCCACGGTTGTCTGATAGTCTGGAACTGGGTAAATACTCTTGGAGTAGGACATACGCCAATAGGTCGTTGTTAACTCTTCTCCTACCAGCTTTTCAACGTTTGTGTTGGACCGTACAGCAGCTATTACCGCATAAGAGCAAGGTACAAATAAGAGTTGAAACTCGCAACAGCTGCAACTCTTCTTACAGAGATCCACACGATTTTTTATCCCACCTTTGTCCGTCACTTCAAACTCACTTTCGTTTATGCGATTAACGATGTACCCGGTCCCCTTTTTAAAGTTGGCTGACACAATCCCCTGAACTCTTTTTGTAAGACCACCTTCCTTATTGTTTGCCTTGTTCCGCCGTGAACTAAACCAAGTCATCAGTGTTGTTCGAATGTGTTCCAACAACGCACTTATTGGAAATCCCCGAGCTTCTGCCATTGTTGTGTTTAACGACTCAGCTATGTTGCTGGTCATGATGTTGTACCTCACTCCAGTAAAATGAGCATGCGTCCATTGCTCGAAGCCTATGACGGCGAGATATTCAGCACATGATCGATCGATTTTCACAATTTTGTTGAAGTGAGTATTGAATTCGGATTTGTGAAAAGCTCTAGCGGCCTTCGAAATCAGATATCCCATATGTCTCTTCTTGAAGATGGCTTGTACATTCCTTTGAAGGTGCACCACACAGATGCCATGTCTCGCCTTGGGGTAAACCTACATGTAACAAATACATTATATTGTAGCGGACTACAGATAAAAATAACTGATAACAACGTTTATGAAACCGTTTTAGAGATACCTACCTTACTTAGTGCAGCGTAAATAGAATTGTGCTTGTCGGAAACGAAAACAACGTCCTCTGCGTCTGGTATTATATGCACCAAATTTTGAAAAAACCAAGTCCATGACTTGTCGTTCTCCTTATCCACAATTGCAAATGCCACCGGAAATATCTAATAATTTGCATCCTGCGCGCTTGTTGTAAGCATGCATCCTGCGTAATTCCCTTTCAGATGGGTCCCATCAACTACAACCACCCTTCGCATATACCTCAATCCCTGCACACATGCTCCAATAGCAAGGAAAAGATATATGAATCGCTGTCCAACTCCTTTTTCGATGTCGGTTTCAAGATTGACAATTTACCCAGGGTTTGCGATCACAAGTTGCTTGAGGTAATACGGTAACAAGTTGTACGACCCTCCATTTGTTCTTTCACATAGTCCACATCTACCTGTCAAGATCGCCAAGCCTGTATTAAAATAAATAACATCTACATTTTCTATTATCATGTTACAATCACACTTACATATCCACAACTAAGCGTACCTTCCAATATGAAATTGGCACATCATGGTCAGCCCTCATCATTTCCCTTACCTCATAAGGCTTCGGCCCTGCACCATGACCGGCATACCTTGCTCGCATCATGTCACCGATCACACTCGATGTTGCATGTCTTTGAAAGTTACCTCTCTTGTCAACGGTGCATAAATGATCCGCTTTCACCTTCCTTACTTGGTACCACTCTGATCCACTCATCTTTACCGCGTATACCCTCCACGGACAGCTTTTCCCAACATATCTATGACCATAACGTTTGGTGTAGACTTCTTGTGTGTGAACTGAAATTTTGAAATGCGTACATTGCCATGTGTAGCTTGAAAGCTTCACGATTTTTAAACATCATCCCCACATACACCTCCTCATTCCTACTTAGACCGTCACCTATTTTGTTACCAATTATTTTGTTTTTTTATCAGTATTTCTATCCGCAGAAAACTATATTCACAAAATAATATATCCACTAATCTCTTCATTACTGGTAAAGAAATTATTACCTACGAAAACTTCATGTTCCACGTCGTCTTCCTCACTGTCATCAGTCATTTGTTTATTGTTGTCCGACCACGTCGGACATGCTAGTGTCAAAGCCAGATGAGACCCATTGTCAGAGTTAACATCCACCACCTTCCCTTTCCCTTTCTTCTCACTCAACTTTAGTATACCAAGTGTGACGTGTTTTGCTAATCATGTGCTTCTTCAGACAGCTGCATTAGATATTGAGTTACATCGGTATCAGGAGTTTCATTCCATACTTTTCAGTTACTTGTAAATTCAGTACTCTACTTACCTTTCACTGGGGTCATTAAGGCAAGGTTAACAAGGTCAGCATCAAAGCTCGCAGGCCCCATGTCTGCATCCTCTTCTTCAGCCAGCCTTATGACCCCCTTGTGGGCCCCGTCTCCCTCAGCTGGTTTTTTGCTGGACCCCGCAGATGATTTTCTGTCACTAAGTTTGATCAACGGGTTTGGTGTCACCTGGTTATTTTCACCCATCAGTTGGGCTTCCAGTTCAGCTGACTTCTTTTTCAGTATAGTTAACTCAGTCGGTGTGCAAATTTCTTTCAACACACTAACGCTGCACGGGAACACACTTCTTCCGAAAAGACCTGCATATCCAATGTTTAAGTGACATGTTAGAGACCAAAATATACAGTTTCTTAGAGACCAAAATATACAGTTTCTACTCATATCTTTCTAAACAGTTAACATTTTTCTTACTGTGATAGTCGAAACTTCCAAACTGGATCGGAGGAGGTTGTGTTGCTACAGTGTTTGATGGACCTCCAACGTCATACGTAGCACTCTTTTGTAATTTGTACCGTCTAATATCTTCAGATCCGACTGTAGCATACAATGGGAGCTCCGGAACCTCCAGACGAATGGCCATGAAAAGTTCAACATCTGAGTTGTTGAACACATCAATTGGCGGCGTAGGCGGCCCAGTGGGTACCAACATCCAGTCTGGGAACTGGTAGCTCAACGCAACCTCAGTCGCCGCATCAACCAGGCATCAAGCTCTAACACTGTCATCAATCCATCGAAGCTCGCGTTTTCCGAAACCATGACACAGAAGCTATCTCCATGACCGTCGACCTGTAAGTTCCAGGCTCCAACCTCCATTTTCTCCCAACACCCACGAACAAGCATTACTAAACTTCCCACCATCTACCATACAAAAAGATGAAAAACAGTTAAAATTTCACTCCACTACATAGTTTATCGTTATATTTTGCGAAATTAACAGTTTCTAAGCATTTATTGCGTAATACGACAGATCAAACCTTTCTGCTCTACTAACACCAATAAATATGTTACAAAAGGAATAAACTGAAGAATAATGCTATAACTGTTGTTTTACCTTTAACGAAGGAAACCGAAGTATCTTTCTCGACTTAATCAACAGAAGACAATCTTTAACTTTTGATTTACTCTCGCTATTTATGGAGGCTGGTAAACTCAGGATTATGGCTGGTACTTATTTATATAGAGGGTAAAAAACCCTAATAACATAAATGCACTGCTTTGGGAGAGGTAATTTTCTTTGGACAACAGAAATCTAGTATCAGGCTTATTAACCGTTACAGAAATCTAAAACGGTTGATAATATATGCTTAATATCTTGAGAAAATTGGAAATATAGAACAAAAAATAAAGGTACTTGTCCCCTTAATACTTTTTTTTTTTAAATTGTCCCTTTAGTACTTATGGTAATTATAATCCTCTTTTACCCCTTAAAAACGAATTATTTGATATTCAAATTATGTTTTAACTATTATTAATTAAGATA